CAGGACACTCTGGCCCCAGGTGGGGGTGCTGCACACTGTCCGGAGATGTATGGGAACGGCTGAGGGCATGTCTGGCAGGAGAAAATGACTTCTGGAGTGTTCCACAGACGTGGCCACTGCACTCACAGATAGAGAAGAGAGCTGTGACAGAATGGTGTAGAAGTGCGGAAACTGGAGGGCATGTCTGGGGCAAGCTGGGCTGGGCCATGCCGCAGCACTCACTGGTACCCTGGCAGGACAGGGTGTGGGCCATTCCTGGCTGGGCTGACGCATCCTCCACCATATGCACGATTTAGGACTGGGAATGGGCCTGGTAGCAGAATTCTGAGGACTCCCTTGCTAGGCTGCACTTCCCATTGGGGAGTGTGAGAGCCAGGGATGGGGACGGACTAGGCTAGGCAAAATTATACCTATTGGCGTGCATGTGGACTGGGTCTGGGAACAGGCTAGACTGGCCTAGGCTCCGGCACTCACTACTGCTTGTGAGAGTCAGAATGGGTGTGGGACAGGCCAGGTTATGCCATGGCACTCATCAGTTCACATAAGAGCTGGGTCTGTGGGTGGGTCAGGCTAGATCAGGCTGTAATACCTATGAGAGAGTGAGCGAGATTGGGTGCAAGCCAGTTGGGCTAGGCTATATTACCCGCTGGCCAGAGCTGGGACTGGGGCTGAGAAGGGCTGAGCCAGCCTGTAGCACCCCCTGGTGAATGCGAGTCATGTCAGGCTGGACCACACGACCCTCTGACAAGCACAAGATCCAGACCTGGAGTGGGCCAGGTAGGGGAACGACGGACACATTTTTGCTGGGCTGCAGCTTGTATTGGTGAGCATGAATAAGAGCCAGAGCCGGGGGCGGGCCAGGCTCATCGAAGCAGCAGGACCCATTGGCCTACGTGTGGGCAGCTATGGGGGTAGGTCAGGCTGTGCTAAGCCTCAGCTCCCACGGGTGTGTATGAGTCAGATGAGATGCAGGATGGATTGGGCTGGGCCATAGCACATGCCAGTACACACAAAAACAGGGACTGAGGCAGAAGTAACTAGATAAATGGACTCAAACCCTGGCCACAGGGAAAATCACAAGATGCATGTTTTGACCTTGGAGTGCCCGTGTTGGGACTGGGCCGCCTCAGCTGCTGATGTCTGTGCAGTGGACAGCAAGCCCACAAGCTCACCGAGCACATGGCAGCCAGCTCATCTAGGCTAGCAGATGATACCAAGTGCCTTCTCAGAGGATGGAAAGTAATATAGGTTGGACAACTCTCCTGGTAAGCTTTGCAGCATGCCCCCGGCCCATGCTGCACTAAGGTGCACTTGGTCAGCCAACAGACTTTGCAAAGATTTTCTCTCAACTCTTGTGCAGTGAAACTGACGAAGTCTCAGAACTATCAAGGCCACTCAACTAACATCCTCAGAACACTCCCCCCTGCCACACACAGCGGGCTCTCTGAGGAGTCATCAAATGACTGTTCCCCATCCCTGGGTGCTGATGTAGTTTGACAGGACCTCCTTTCCTGCCCTGCCCCCCCAAAAAGGTATTCCTCCATATCTTGATCTTCTCCAGCCTAAATGGAGACATGCAGGAGCATGTCTTTCAACTATGTAAACATTTAAAACAAAGAAAAAAAAAGAGAATGGGATTTAAAGTTTATTTTGATGCAAAATAATTTTGAAATCCATGCACAGGTTTTTCATAATACGATTGTCCACCAGTGTTTGAAGGTCTGTTCGGTATTTTCATTCCTCCCAAGTCAACTCCTAGAAGTGGAATTGCTGGACCATAGGGTGGCATGTTCACCTTCATAAAACGCCCAACTGTCCTCCAAAGAACCCGAATTACTGCGCATCACCAGGAGCAAAGTCTGAGAGGCTCAGCTGCCCCGCAGTCTTACAGCAATCAACGCTGTCAGGTTTCCAAAGCCGCAGCCATCCTGGTGAGTGCACAGTGCACAGTGTTGGCTTGTTGTGGCTCTAATTTGCATCTCTCTAATGACCAGTGATGTTTTTCATGTACTTGCTGACCATCTGTATCCTCTCGTTGAAATAGACCTTCTACACTTCCTGCTCCTTCCTTAGCTGAGGCCTTAATTTGCTATGGAGTTTTGGGAGATCTTTATATCGCCTAGATAACATCTTTTACATGTGTTTTACAAATATGTTCTCCGCGTAGTTTTAAAGAGCTCCTTCCAACAACACTGGTATGACAGCTGTTTCTGAAGTGTCTCTTTGGAGGCACGTCCTCCCACTCCCTCCCACCCCCATACACAAAGGGTAAGTGTCCTAGGCTGTGCCTCTGGGAACTCCAGCAAGTGTGAGGTTAGATCAACCACCAACTGATAACCAGTCGTCTCTAATGAGGAATGAGGAGCACTCAGCACTCAGGAGCACTGCCGCTTCATCCACTCCTCATCCTCACCCCAGGTTCTTCTATCAGACTGAGCTTTGACTGAGCTTGTCTGGCCACAACCCTGTGTGTGCGTGCTCTCCCACCGTTCTGTGAGGTGAGGTTGGGCAATGCCCCTTCCTGTGTTCCCTCTGTACTTCTCGCTGCCTAATTGGCACTGAGCTCTTAAGACTTCCTCTATACCCAGTTCAGATGCCAACTCCTCTAAGCAGCTTTCCTGATTCCCCAAGATGTTAACAGCTCACTCCCTACTACTTCCATACTTATATAAGTAATGGTTAACACCGATAAGGAACTTTCTATGCATCACACAGCACTCCATGCTTTACATTAGTTTAATTTCCAGCACAATTTTACAAGGCAGATAACTCCCAACATCCCTGCTTTGCAGGGAGATGGAACCAAGACACAGGGGGTGAAAAATTTACTCTAAGAGGCTTTGAATTCTAGTAGCTATTTAAAACACTCTGCTAATATTTTTATTGCCACATTTAATATCCTATGTTGCCATTTACTGCAAGAACGTCTTATTTATTCATCTTCGTATCTCTGCTACTGGGGGTGGGCAAAGTCTCTTCAGCAAGCTGATGGCCTTGCTTTGTGCTCATTGGATCACAGCACAACCCCCCAGCTCTGATCAGCTGAGCCAGCAACTTCCTTGCGGACGTGGCATTAAGGAGTCTCTAGGTGGTCTAGCATGTAAGTAAATCAAATGGCATTTGTAGGCATTTCTAGAAAACAGCTTCTTATCGGAATCTAGGACAAGACAGGAACATCATTCGAAAACGAAGAAACTCCACAATGAGAATCAGAAACCCAGACGCTGAAGCCTGCACAGGAGAGGGAGCATCCAAGAAGCAAGACCCAGGGAAGGTAACACTCAAGACCTTGCTGCATGTGAGCTAATGAGGCAGTGTCTGGCCAGCTGCACCACAGCTGTGGCAACGGGCAGTGGAGCATCCCTTATCTACACAGCACTATCAGTGGCAGCCTGCCTCCCACAGTGCAGTTCTGGAATCCGAAACTGGTTCTGCTTCTGGCTACTGTATGATCCTGGGACGGTTGTTTAACCTCTCAGAATATCCCAGGAATCACAGCTGCAAAGCGCCAGAACTCACATAGTATAAGGCTCTTCTGGAAGTCAAGTTTTTTTTTTTAAATTTCTTTTCCTTTTATTTTATTATTATTTTTTATTTGGGAATTAAGTTCTAAAAGTCTAATGTTTAGCACAGTGCCTGGTGCACACTATGGGTCCAATGAACATAAGCTCTTATTCTTCCTGCCTGTTCAGTAACATTGTCGGCTGAAATCTACTGAGAACTCAGAGTATTTAAGACACATTATCACAAATACCTATCACCTTTGCCTCTGGCACTCAGCACACAGTGAGCACCAATGCCCTGTCACTGAATGAATAAATGGCAGAGAAGCTAATAGGCTTTGTTGGAGAGACACTGGAATGGCAATCAGAAGTAAGGCTTAAATGTCAAGAGGACCAGCCTAGGAAAAATCCAATTTAGCACTTAATGAGATTGTGTGTATCAGACACCAACTGAGTGTTCATAACAAGCCGACTGGGGTATTGTTTAACCCCTTTTGTGTCTTAGGAACTGCCAATGGTTAAATTATATTCAATGATGCTTTAAAGTTAAGTCTCCAGTACTGTGTTTAAATGCTTTAAAAACTGGAAATCCACATAGAGTACAAGTGGCGATGCTGAAGTGGCTGAAACATTGTGGTTGAGGGCGAGACTTTGCTCACATGCCTGTCCCCACACAGCGTGTCCCCCGTTCCTGCGCCCATCTCCCACTAGACTACAAGCAGCTCTTCCACCTGGCACTTCCACACCCCCAGTGCCTAGGGCATATTCATGTTTAGTAAACATTCCAGCTAAGCAAATAATTATTGCTTCATGACCATACCAGATGATACCTTTTAGTCCAGCAACATGTACCTTTGGTCAATTTATATTTCCAGAACGTAACATACTCATGAAAACTCTTCAAAGTCCTACAACTTAAACTACTTAACAGAAGCCAGTTTAAAATGGAAGCAGAAGAATCTGGAAAGTCCTTTTTGATTTACATGGCTTCTAATATAATGTGATAAAGCCACTGATTTGCTTCTAACAAATACTAAAGGCCTATACTGCAGACTGGCCAGAAGTTCCATCACACTGCTATATCATGGTTGTCGTTACTGCTGCTCAAAGGAAAAGACAAAGGAAAAGTGAGTTTAAAACGTGACCTCTGCCTACTTTTATACTTTTTGAAAATGATACATGGCTTAGCAAACTACTCTAGACTCAGGTCAGAAAGAAAAGGGACTAAAAAGGGGCAGGGGAAGGGCAGTTTATCATCTCCCACGGGCAAGTCAGAGAGGAGAGCTTTATGACGGAGTCCACCCTCAAGTGGTATTCTCTACCCAGGTACTTGAATAGAACAGGAAGAAATTTTAGCAAAAGGACGTTGACTTTAAAGGTCAAAGTGCAGTCTTCGTCCTCTTGGGGTACGCGGCAGGAAATCTGGATTCAAGCAGGGATGCCAACGACAAACTCCCTCTATTGCTCAGCTTTGCCGGGAGCTTCTCCATCACCTCGGCTTGGGAGCTGGACTGGGGGGTGGGGACAAAAATTCTGGTAAAGGACACTCTGATTTTGTCCCACGGGGAGATTTTAACCCAAGAGTGTCCAGCGCTCATGACGTATGTTGAGTAAGAAACAGTTCCATAACACCAACACTTTCTAGTTCTCACAAGCAATGATAAAAACAAATTCCTATGAAAACTTTTTCACAGACCATTATGAGCAACCACAACTCTGCTGAAACCTGTAAGAGCCATCCACGACACAGCAGAGCATAACGTTCACCTGTTGAGATTTATCACGCTAGAAGTTACTGTGGCAACAATCTCAGATCTTCCCAAGGCTGAGCAACCATAATCATATGACATTTAAAACACCCCCGTATGTACTGAGCTTAACCAGCTCACCTATTAAATGCGGTCCTCTTAGGACGGGGCACCTTACCAGAGATGTACATCTTCCTTGGAAGCCTCCCCCCGCCTTTCCCCGCTGTGGCCAATGCGGACTGGAGCACCCCTCACAGCAACCACAGGGCTTTGGAGTCCTGCTTTAGTCATTTTTAGAGCAAGAGTTCTGAAACAAACGAGTAAGAACACCTGTGTGGAAAAGAGCCTCCTCCACAACGAAAAGCCAAATATTAACATCAAGTAAAAGGACATAACCCAAAAGTTAATCACAAACGGCACCAGTCTGCCACCAAGACTGATGGCTATATTGAAGAGACAACGAATGTTCAAGAGAACCAAGCATATACAATCAGTTGTGAGGAACTATTAGTTAACTAAGACAAGCTTAAAAAGCTACAGTTAGGAGAAAAAAAAAAATACCAAAACAGAGCTTCAAATAAGACACAATTCTGCCTTGGAAACTACTGGCCAGCCACCAGGCATACATGGCAGGCACTGTCGTCATGAAAACAGGATTTGAGTAGAGGAGATACAGGACAACCCCACGTCAAAAAGATGAGATTTGCAGGGAAATACACGTTATGAGCCAAGAACAAGACGTTCACAATGTTCAATTCTATACAGATTTACACCATACAGTTTATTTATTCTATGTAGTTTATCCTCTAAAATCAAGGGTTTCTTGACACTTAGCCCACACTTTTTTTTTTAAAGAATTATTTATTTTTATTGGAAAGGTAGATAAACAGAGAAGAGCGGAGACAGAAAGGAAGATTCTTTTTTTTTTTTTTTTATTTTTACTGCAAAGTCAGATACACAGAGAGGAGGAGAGACGGAGAGGAAGATCTTCTGTTCACTGCATCACTCCTCAAGAGGCAACAACAGCTGGAGCTGAGCCTTTCCAAAGCCAGGAGCCAGGAGATTCTTCTGCGTCTCCCACGTGGGTGCAGGGTCCCAGGCCTAGGGCCGTCCTTGACTGCTTTCCCAGGCCACAAGCAGGGAGCTAGATGGGAAGTAGAACTTCTGGAATTAGAACCGGTGCCCACATGGGATCCTGGCATGTTCAAGGCAAGGATTTTAGCTACTAGGCCACTGCACTGGGCCCACCCACAGGCAATTCTTAACCTTCAGCTAATGGGTATATCACATTTGGTACTGCACCAGAATAGAAAATAAGACAGCCTGAGATTGGATGGGGACTACTTCACCAGAATTTTATTTTATATAGGGAATGCAAAGAAGAACTTTCTTAATACAATGGCAATCAACTTCTAAATTCTGGTGTTTTTTCCATCACAAGTAAACAATGCAGGAAATCATTTATTTCATAGGCATTTTATTGTTTTAGCTATGCAACATTTCCTTACATTTTTGTCATTTGCTACTTCTTGGTTGCAAGTTGAAGAAGCAGCAGACAAAATGAACACAAAAAGAACATTTTACTGCATTTATTTTGTTGTGTTCTTAAGTGGTCTCATCTGAGAGCATGATTATGGATTTCCTAATATGTAACATTCTAAGCCAGGGAATATTTAAACATAATCATGTATATGTGTATTGTTTTTATTTAAACATTAAAAAATAGAAGAAACATAGTTTTATGTCCCAGAAAATGAAATTAATCTTTGGTCTCTGCCTCATAACAAAACCCTCCTTCAGCCTGTCCCTATTCAATTGTTCAATGCGTGCCTGTCAAGGGGCGCAGAACTCCGGGAGCAACGATGGTCTTTGGGAATCTGAAAATTTAGTTGGAGTAATTTCTTGAAATTTTTAGAAATTATTTAATTAAAAAAATTATTTTATTTTGATTATATAGTCGATTAGGGCACAAAGGGTGAAGGGCTACAAAAAAGTGGGTAAGACCATTGTTTCCACATTATTATTGTTGCTTTTTCTGTATCCAGGGTCAGGGCAGAGATAAAGGGAGAAGCCCCACCCAGCCTCCCACCCATCCTAGGTCCCCGATGTGGGGCATGCTCCGAGGGTCCTGCTAAAGCAGTTGTGATGGTTCAGAAATTCTGAATTGCTGCCAATCTCGCCGTTCCAATCATGATGAAATCTCTCCAGAATCCACTGGCTGACATAGTCTCTTCATGGTTGGGGTTCTGAGATGAGCAGTTCAGTTGGAGGAATCTCCAAAGAAACTTCGTCTGAGGTGATCCCAGACCCGATTCTTATGTGTGCTTGTCAGTACAGGGTCGAGCACCGACCACTGCCACAATCAGCTTACGCACATGCTGGTTGTTGCAATTGCTGGGTCAGTTCTGTTTCCAGTCCTGTCTTCCATGCGATCTGATGGGTGTTGCAGTTCAGCCCGATCCTGTCCACTTCATACTCAGTCCTCAAGCAAACCAGTGGGAGCTGCAGCCTAGTCGGGGCAAATCCCCATCACCCCCACCAGACCCGCCCCCTACCCTGCTTCCCATGCTTGCCAGTCTGCCCCACATCCCATTTAGCTCTTGTGCTTGTCAAGGGGCATTGAAGCCCCAGTTCAACCCAACCAGCCCACGCATGTATTGGCGGGTGCCTTTCTGTTTAGCCACCCCTGCCCCTGTCCTGGTTTTCATGCTGTCCAGTGGAAGTGGTAACCCAAGAAGGAGTTGCCCACTATTTCCTTACTAGGCCACTCCCACTCCCTGATTATGCACTCTCCAGGTGGTTCTGGAGTTTAACTTGACAAATTTAGCTCCCAGTGCCAGCCTCTGCCAGCTGATGCTGTGGCAAAGCCCAACCAACCCTCACCCACTCTAATTTTTGCTTGCACCATTAGGAACAGTCAGCCCAACCTGGCTTTTCCCTGATCTGGCTCACATGAGGCCCATAGGTGTTGCAGCCTTGCCTGGTCTGGCCTGTCCCCATCCTCCAGTGGGAGTGGTTGTCCAGCAGGGGAGCCCTCCACATTCCCCCTGCCGGTTTAGCCCCTTTCCTGGTTCTCATGGTGCTGTTTGGGCGCTGCGGCCATATCTGGTATGGCCCACCTCACCTTGGCATTTGCCAGTGGGTGTTGTAGCCTGGCCTGCCCCGGTCCACCCCCAATTCCAGCTGACACTGGTGAGGGTTACAGCCTAACCCAGCCCACCAAGCATCCAATCCCAGCCGTAATATGTACTGGTATGTGTTGTGACCATACCTGGCCCAACCCACACTCGGTTCTGGTGCTTGGATTCGCCAGTGGGTAATGTGAACTGGTTTAATCTGGTCTGCCCCTGACCTATGCCAAATGTATGCTGGTGGGTACCTTTCCCTGGCCTGGCCTGAGCTGCTCCCTGTCGTGGTTCTTGCAGTTACTCGCAGGGACTGTGTCCTGCCAGAGGAGCTGTGTATTTACTTTTTTTTTTTAAAAAAGATTTATTTATTTTTATTGGAAAGGCGGATATACAGAGAGGAGGAGAGACAGAGAGGAAGACCTTCTATCTGATGATTCACTCCCCAAGCGGGTGCAGGGTCCCAAAGCTTTGGGCTGTCCTCGACTGCTTTCCCAGGTTACAAGCAGGGAGCTGGATGGGAAGTGGGGCTGCTGGGATTAGAACTGGCACCTATATGGGATCCCTGGCGTGCAAGGCAAGAAGTTTAACCACTAGGCTACCACGCTGGGACCCTGTGTATTTAATTTTTACATTACAAATTTTATTTACTTGAAAGACAGAAGAGAAAGAGACACACAGAGAAATCCTTCATTTACTGAATCACCCCCCGAAACTCCATCCAACGGCTGCAGCTGGCCTAGGATGCAGTCAGGATTCCATGGGAGTGGTAGGAACCCAGGTGGCGGATGTCACCTGCTGCCACCTACAGTCTGTGACAGTAGGGAGCTGGCACTTCAAGGCAGGACATGGCATCCCAAGAAGCCTAACCACAAAGCCAATGCCTGGCCCGTTGGTAACTATTGTAACAGAAAACCAAAGAAATCTTAGCTGGCTTTTTTTTATTATCAATATGAGTAGTGTGAAATGAGCTAAGGATGAAAACTGACATTTCGCTTCAAATGTAAATGCTTTCTTTTTATTGTGTTTAAATGTGAAACATGATCACATTATTTATTTTTCTGTTAAAAAACGTCAGGTTGTTCTTCAACAATTTCAGAATGGAATTTTGGCTTTATTCTTTTGAATAGATTCTGCAGTCAAATCCCCCTGCCTTGCTAAACCGTTCCCTTTGAACAACCGTTATCTCTGTTCCTGAGAGAGAAAGCAAGCAATCGTGAGCGCAAGGACAAAGGTTAAATTTAGAAAACAATTCCTCATTTTAATTTTAAAAGCAAATACTTAAAAAAGAAAACGTTTTTTAATCCCCCTAAACATATCATTTTCTTGGATAATCTGGTTTGATACAAATCTATAAATAAATTGTCTTCTAAAAAGAAAAATTTATGAAACTTTATAAGAATTCCAGGCTTAAAAAACTGACCAAGAGAAACAGGCTGGCAGCGAGCCGGGTGCTCGGAGTTGGGAAGCAGCACTGCGGCCTCGGCTCAGCTCGCAGCGGCTCCACCAGCAGGTCTGCCCCGCGCAGGTCTACTCGCTCTTCTCTTCTCCTTGGTAGTGTCTGTATTCCGGCTTCAGCTCCCACGTGTTCTTGTGGATCCCTTTTACATTCTGAGTACCAATTTCTTTCAAGATTTCCTTCAGGTAGCCCTAAAAACAAAACAAAAATCCCAATAGGTGAGCTGGTAAAGACACAAAATCTCAAACAAATATACCAAAGCACATTCACAATAAAAATGATAGTCCAAAGTTTGACAGGATTTCTCTATGAACAAAAACTTTGAGATTCCAACTTGTGCAACATGGAAGCATATCAAATCATTTACATTCAGAAAGAGTTGTGCCAACAACCTGAAAGCTTAAAAAAAAAAAGTTTAGTTGGAAACTGCTGGTGCTGAGTGTACTGGAAGGCACAGTGGAGCAAACAGAACCACCCTTTGAGTGTGGTGGCCTCACGGGTGAGATCCTTGGGAAGGAAATGTCCAGTGAGACGGGCACACGATAGGCATCCTGAATGCTCAGCCCTCAGCCTCACAACGCGCTATTAGAGCTTGCTGGAACACTGCTGTTCGTGATCACTGTTATTTGTACACTAGCCAAGCCTATCAACACAGGGTGTGGAACAAGTGATAAGACCTGTCAGAATCCAAGAGGGTTGCAACTTGTTTTTTCTTTTTCTTTTTTATTTTTTTTATTGGAAAGTCAGATTTACGGAGAGAAGGAGAGACAGAGAGAAAGATCCTCCATCTGCCAGTTCACTCCCCAAGTGGCTGCAACAGCCAGCGCTGAGCCGATCCAAAGCCCCAGGGTCTCCCACATGGATGCAGGGTCCCAAGGCTTTGGGCCATCTTCTACTCCTTTCCCAGGCTGCAAGTAGGAACAGGATGGGAACTGGAACGACAGGGATACGAACTGATGCCCATATAGGATCCCAGCACATGCAAAGTGAGGACTTTCAGCCAATAGGCTTCCACCCTATGCCCATGGGTTGCGACTTTCTTGGGATTGGCCTGTGTTATACATTGTATTTTGGGTCCCTGAAATTTCAATTTACATTACCAAATGATCTCTTCAAAGAGTATAGAGAGCTCGGCACGGTGGCCTAGCGGTTAAAGTCTTTGCCTCGAATAAACCAGGATTCTATATGGACGCTGGTTCTAATCCCAGCAGCCCCACTTCCCATCTAGCTTCCTGCTTATGGCCTGGGAAAGCAGTCAAGGATGGCCCAATGCCTTGGGACCCTGCACCTGGGTGGGAGACGCAGAAGAAGACCTGGCTCCTGGGGTGAATCATCAGATGGAAGATCTTCCTCTCTGTCTCTCCTCCTCTTTCTATATATATTTTGCAATAAAAAATCTTTTAAAAAAGTTTATAGAAAATGAGTATTACAGACAAAATGTGCTTGGTTTAAATAATGTTTGTTCCCAAAGACTATGCTTTTGAACTGTATTTTTCATGAATTTTCTGAAGTACTGCTGTGTTCACAGAAATGGTGGCAATGATTACTGTAAAAATACCACTATTGCCTGTCAGTGTACTCAAGTTTGAAAAGTAAAGCTAATATAAATTATACTACTTCCTTGGAGGATGAGAAAGAATTTCAAAGTGATTTCTTTCCCCCTACAGAACCAACAAAAGAGCAAATTGTGTGTATGCTTCAAAGAAACAGTTACATAATGACAACTCATCCCACTGATGGAAGATTATTTTATTAACTGAAATCAGGCACTAATTAGAAAAATGGCAAAGACATTCGTATCTAAAAAAAAATAATAGGCACAATCTGACACAATGCTAGATTACTTGCATCTGAACCTGGTGGGAAGCTAAGGCAGGCAGCCCCAGGTTGGGTCTAGGAACCCGCAGCGGCTCACTTAATTCACTGAAGTTGTACTGCATCTGCTCGAATGAGGCTCTATGAGAACCAGGAGTCCTTGGCTGATCTGCTCCCTGAGCCTCACTACAGGTGGAGAGAATGTGTTACCAAGATATACACTGACACGGACTGCTATGGTGCTGCACAGCGTTAAGGTTCTCTCAGTCACGGGTTGGTTGTTCTAGACACTACAGCTCACTTGTGCTGGGAATGACAGAGTTCGCATTCTACCAGCCAGGCAGCAGGTGGCAGCAATGAATCAAATGAACACGGGGTTCTCCCAGGCACTTGCCTGCCTCCCACACCTCCTTCAGCTGGCTTCACTAGACAACCAATGTGAATGAGTAAGCACAAAGGCTTGAGGCATCCAGGTAATATGCATGTCTGCCATCTGCTGCTTCAAGCCACATTTAAAAAATGGGACATTGTTTATAAACTACTTTCTAATTGAACAGGATTCATAAATGGAAAAATGACGCGTTAGGCACAAATGATTTAGTTTAGGTGCCAAGAATGACATCTTTGTAAAATTCCAAAGAATGGTTTATTGTAAGACTGGCTAAGATCCTGTTGCACAAACAATCACACAATTGTGGATGCACTGCAATGGATCAAAAATGAAAAGAGCAATTGCTAGGAGCAATTTGATAGTGCAAGAGAAAAAAACAGCTCTTGTCTTCAAGTCTGGCATTTCAATTATAAACTAGGCAGAGCAAATTAAAAGCCTATAAAGAGTTAAACCCAAAACACTAAGAAAGTTCAGTGCACAAATTTCATTTGTTTCACGTACAGATGTTACCTTTAACCTCTGTAGTAGTAAGAATGGGATAATACAAAGTCTGCCCATTTGTTAAGGAACAAATGAGGTTACAATGTGTAGCCATGGTATGTATAGTTCAGATTTTGGGGGGAGGGGATCAAACATATTGGATTTCTGAATATCTCAAACTGCAACTCAATTCCATTGTACCATAGCCAAATAAATTAGCTTGACAAGGGAGTAGGCATAAAGCAACAGCAGAGATAGTAATATCACGGATGTAAGAAGTAAGGTCAGACCACCCCTAAAGGAAGAAGACACAGACCATCATGTCATTCTCCTGTCTAAAGCGGCTTCCCCTGTGGCCTACAGGTGAAATGACAAATTTCTTCACAAGCACCCCAAAGGTGTGCCTTTTCCCTGGCTCCTGTTCTGACTCTTTCCATACACTTAAACTTCCTGTTGGCACGATCCAGGGGTTTATCACATGGGGTTCCTATTCTCTCTAAAGTCAATGTTTTGTTTTTTAAGTCACAGAGTGGAGTAACAACTTTTCTCAAGGCCATTTGGGTATGTATGACATAATTCATAGGCCATACACAACTGTCAACTTAAAAAACAGTCTGCTTTAATTTAGTGAATTTCAAGTCTCACTTGTGGTTGCAGGAAAAGACTAAAGTTTCCCTTCCCTTCCTTTTCTTCCTATCTTCTCCCTCCCCTTGCCCCTTCCTCCCCCCACCCCCACCAGCCCATCGCAGCACCAGACCAAAGGACTTTTCTTTTTTCTCTCTTGTTCTTTGCCTCAGCAGGACCAGGTCAAAGGATTTCTCTTCTTTTGTTTTTTTTTTTTAAGATTTATTTATTTTTAATGGAAAGACAGAGTTCAGAGAGAAGGAAACACAGAGAGAAAGATCTTTTGATTGCTGGTTCATTCCCCAGGTGGGCTGCAAGAGCCGCAGCTGAGCTGATCTGAAGCCAGCAGTTTCTGGGTCTCCCATGTGGGTGTAGGGTTCCATGGCTTTCAGCCAGCCTCTACTGGTTTCCCATGCCATAAGCAGGGAGTTTGATGGGAAATGGAATAGCCGGGATACAAACCAGTGCCCATACAGAATCCAGCATATGCAACATGAGGATTTAGCCACTGAGCCATTGCACTGGGCCTGTGGGCCAGAATCCCCAGGCTCAAATGTCATTTTCTCAGAGAAACTACCTGAACACTTCACTCTTATCGTTGTATGTTTTGATTCTTGTGAATCTTAGTTGATTGCTATTTTAATTATGATTAATATGACTGTGCATTAAGAGCACAAACTCCATTTTGAGTTTTATAATATAAGCTGTCCCAGGGCGAGGCAGTGTGGACTGACAGGAAGGAAGCCTGCTGGTAGGCAGCCATACGGGCAACTGTACTTCTTCTCCAAGGTTGATATCTGCAGGTAGGTACTGCAGCTGGGGCAGTAAATTCTAGTGCCTTCAAACCACCAATGGAGGTGTAACTCACTACTACCCCATTCCATGCAAGACTTCACTATGACAAGGAACAGCATACTGGAGGTTCTGCGGGAATAAACATTCCTTTATTTCCTTGCTGACAACTCACCAGCCTGACAGCATCAGGAACCACGGAGCAGTCCTTGAAGGAGTGGGTGTCTTTCCCTGTATTATTTGGAAAATTTCCTCCATAGATGTAAAGGTATTCACTTTGTTACTAACTTGTACCTATTTCAGCCTATACAATAGTTTTCTTTTATGTATGCTACTGTGCATCACAATAAACTGATTAACTCAGGAACTAGTTTTGGTCTCAGCTGGCTTGCCAAGTGACTCAAGGTAAAAAAAAAAAAAAAGCCCCCTTTGGAAAGATTATACCCTTTATGTTGCAACTGTCATTAGGACATCAGGGAGACCAGGCCATCTTGACTGCTTCAGCCCAACGACCCCTTAGATTCTTGTTTCCACACTGAACATACTGTAGCAAAATGGCTCTTAATATACGATATCATACTCTTTTACTCACATGTTTCTCTCTTCCCTCTGCATTTTCATGGAGACTCAACATACTAAAGCAGAGAAAATAGTGTTGGAAGTTGTTAGGGAACGACAGAGACATACTGGTGCCAGGTGCCCGAGAAGGAAACCCGAAGGGGTGATGCTGCATGAACAAGGGCCATATTGGCCTTGTGTGGTGGCCAAGTGGTTGAATCTTTGCCTTGGCAGGCACCAGGATCCCATATGGTCACCGGTTTGCATCCTGCTCCACTTCCCATCCAGCTCCCTGCTTGTGGCCTGGGAAAGCAGTAGAGGATGGCCTAAAGTCTCGGGACCTCCTATATCCATATGAGAGACCTGGAAGAAACTCCTGGATCCTGGCTTTGGATTGGCTCAGCTCTGGCTGTTGTGGCAACTTGGGGAGTGAGTCAATGGACACATCTTTCTCTCTCCTTCTCTCTGCAAATCTACCTTTCCAATTAAAAAAAAAAGTCCATAAAACAAAAGAAAACATCTTTGACAGGG